ACTCTGCAAACCAGCTTGGCATCCTTAACCGAATCATGCCAGCAGCCTGGCACACTCACCCACATATTAACAAGGGAAAGACGGATGTACAGGCATTAAAAGGCTGCTGCCATGGGGCTTCCAAGCCCCCCTTCCAAGTAATTGGCCATAAGGACACAATCCACCCTTTCCCCTAACCCAGCCTTTCTTTGCCGCCCCCTCTATTAAGTTTTAAAATGGAGCTTCCTAATTGTCGTTAGGCGGCAACACAGAAAAAGGCGCCCAGGTACTAAATTGCAGGTTAGGAGCTGAGCTGGCAGCCAAATAGCAGGCCCCGGACAAAAACCCAGCAAAGTGGCATCTAATGAGCCTGGCCAGATGTGTTTCCCCATAGCAATGTGAATCCAAGCGCAAGGATTTGTGTGTGCGTGTCTTTTGGGATGTGTGTGACATGGAAAGGAGCCTCTGTTTTCCTCCCCACCCACATCAGACAGCTGAGGTTTAAATGTTGTTTTGCAAACTTGATAGGTTGGGGGGTGGTGGTGGAAGAAAGATTCAAAGCAGAGACAGCAAGGCAGATAAAAAGCAAAGGGTCAACAGCAAAGCCAGTCTGAACAGAAACCAGGGGGAGCTGGATGTGTTTTTCTCGCCTCCAGCAGTATGTAAGAGGAGAGGAAAAGCAATCAGGTTCCATACTTTCTCCATGATACATGTTGCAACGTGTATGATGTGCATTTGGGTTATTCCAATAAAGGTATCACTGTCTTGTGGATTTTGGAACATATGGCACTTTGCTATATGGCCAACACAGCTACCCTTGGATATACTTTCTCCATTCTCCCTGCCAATTCCATGTGGCTCTCATGCAGAAAAAGGGCATGGGTACCACAAAGTGGGGTACATCCCTCTCTTTCTCTCACTCATTGTCTCCAAATACAAATTCTTATCTCCCTCTCCAATTTTCCTTCAGTCCCCAAATCTCTAGCCTCAAGGTAACTTTCAATTTGAGTAGATCACATAGAAGCAGAGCTTAAACATCGGAAGAAAAGGGTCAGCCAAAGTGACCCAGGCAATATAAACCCAGAAAGCAGAAGAGTACCAGGCAAGAACTATTTTCAGCGTGTCTCACTCTCTGCAATGTCAGAAATGTGGATACTGAAAGAAAAATTCATTTTTAGGGGGCAGAATTCTTATCAAGGGGAAGCAAAGCCCTTATTTTGCCCATCCTCATCACTGCATCAGATCGGTGCAGGTCTTGTGAGAATGGAGGCCAGTTGCACAGGACCAAAAACAGACACAGTGATGCCAAATGCAGAGTTTGTGTTCTGCTATTGGCATTTGATGAAACCACATTGTGCATTTGTGTTTGTGTTTGTGGATGGCTGGGATTTGCTGCAGTGTGGACAGGAAAGAAGGGGGAATTAAGTGCTCTTTCCGAATACTGCTTTTCTGCAACAAATACATCCACCGGACTGAACATGATCCCTCACTGGGGAAAACCAGCTGTAAAAAGTGGGAAAGGGTAATGAGAGTTTCACTTATGGGTTTAGCTGTAAGGTGGGGGAAAGGAGGACATTGCCCCTTTCCAAATAAGAATTCTGCCTTTCACCAATGAAATGTTCCTGCTCTCCCCAAATTTCTAGTATTTCAAAGAGTGAGGTTTTGAAAACCATTCACACCTCAAAGTCTTCTATTTGCTATGCTCTCAGTCCTTGGTCACTTTGTCGGCCACTTTTCTTCAGATGCGTAAACTGTATTCCTAAATGTTTTACTCAGGTTTGAAAGTATTGCAATGCTAGAAATTTGGGGACAGAAGTCATTTGGGGAGCAAAATTCCCATTTAGAAAGCAGTACCCTGATTTTGTTCCCTCCTGAGCTACACCCCTGGTTTCACTCTCCCTTTCTACCTTGCATCCTACCTCCTAGCAAATATTTGATAGAAAATCAGGAGGATTCTAAGTGGATCCTGCTATTTTGAGTCTGGAAAATTTACTTACCTCTGCTACCCCTTCCAGAATTCCCCTGCCGCCTGACCAGTGATGATGCTATCAGATAGGGAGATTCTGGGGTTTGTAGTCTAAAAAGTAACTTT